TAATTTCATTATGGTTTAATGCCAGTGACTCACATAACTCCCAAATTTGACAAATCAAACACAGGTGCCTTAGAGAGGAAAAAAAATCCTCACTTCCTATTTCTCTTTGGAGGGAAAACAAACCTCTTTATTTATGTACTCTTGAAATAAAAGTACTGAAAAATATTTTGAAGCAGATGCATTGAAATGCCTTTAGCACAAAACAGACCGGAGGTGGACAAAGCCAAAGAAATTAGTTCTTCCCCAATTTAAAGCCTGCGAACTCATAAAGGCACCTCCAAGTGGCTTGGTTAATTTTTCTTCATTCTGCCTCTCACAAATTAAAGATGAGTCTCTATTTACATGGCCCTTCAAAGGCAAGGACTTAGCTTGATCTTTATTGCTGTCATTTCTTATTATGAAAGAAAATAATGTGGGACTTCTAGTCAAGATGACTCAGTAGCTTCACACTTTGATGCTCCTCCTCTGTGTCAAACACAGAGCAACGACAGAGAAAACAAAAAACAAATAGCTGGAAATATAAAACAAGACAAGAAAGAGACAAAAATGCAAAACAGCAAAAGAGCTAAAACTGCAGGTCTGCCATTATATGGGTCTGGAAACAGGGAGGCTCAGCTCCTATAGGGCAAAGGGAACTAAAACTACTAACTAAAGAATATATGGGGGGGGGCAATGTGTGTGTATATATATATGGGGGGAGAGAGAGAGAGAGAGAGAGAGAGAGAGGGAGGAATATCTGGGATTCTGACTTTTAGCAACCTGCCAGCTCAAAAAGAAACAGAATGCAGCCAAGGTATCATGAGCAGAACAGCACCAAGCAATTGTTTTCAGCTCTGTGAACGGACCAGTGGATATCTTTAATACCACCATAAGAGGGAACTACCAAATGTCCATTATCCAATATTCTGGTTTAAGTGCCGATCAAAGTGCAATCAGAGGAGCAGGTTGGGTTCGCGTTAAGCAGGCAGAGTTCAGTATAACAGAAGCGCCCAGGAAAAGGCCAATGTGCGTGGGGAAGAAGAGGGAAAAGCAAAAATACTTCCCACTGGAAATGAGCCTGCACAGCACAATATGAGACACATGGAAATATTGAGAAAGGAACCAAGCAAATCAGCAACTGGAAAATGAATCACTCTAGATAAAATCATTTTTATGGAAAAGCCTGACAAAAATCAAAACAAGTATTTTTGGGATGCTAAAAATCATAAATGAAGGAACAACTTTTAAAGGAGAAGCTATAAAATCATAATTTAACACCAAAAAAAATTGGAAATGATTCAAAATATTGGGGATAAGAGAATATATTCATTGAAACTTACAACTCATTAGCTAGAGTAAATGGTCCTGGAGACTTTTGAGGGAAAACATGGTACCTAGGAAGAACACAGGCTAGAGAAATGAGGAGAACTTTTTTTGAATGAAAGCAAGATTAAGCAATTTAGAGACCAGCTTAACAGGATTTCTAAAAATGTCTAACATAAGCTCTACAAAACTCTATAAAAAGAAATTTTGGAGAATGTTGAAAAGCAATATTTGAGGTGATTCAAGTGAGAATTTTCCAAAATTGCAGGAATATATAATTCTTGAGATCGAAAGTACACTCAGAGAATTAATTAAGAAGAATAAATAATGATTAAGCCACATCTAGATTCATTATCACAGATTTAAAATATGATCTTAAAGCTATCAGAAAGAAAAACTAAAAGGACAACCTTTAAATGGAACTGATAATGACTTCACATCAGCAACAGATTGCAGAAAATAATCGTGTACTATGTTTCAAGTTCTAAAAGAAATAACATGTAAAATTTTATATATAGTTAAACTATTATTCAGGGGTGATATGAAATGTGACATTGTGAGTTTACTGTCATGTACTATGTTTCAAGTTCTAAAAGAAATAACATGTAAAATTTTATACATGAAGTATTATTCAGGGGTGATATGAAATGTGACATAACTGTGAGTTTACTGTCCACAAATTCTCATTACAAGAACTATTGACGATGTACTTAGCAAGATCGATGGATAGGTGTGCCTGGAAGGAAAGCATGGAATCCTAGAAAACAGGAGAATGTTAGCAAATTATTTAATCCTTGATTTGTTTTGTATAAAAACTAAATTTTTATTTTAAGAGGTGAAATTGAAAAATATTGTATGTTCAGTGTCAAAATTTAGAAAATGCAAATAAACAAAAGAGATAAATTAATAATCATTCTCATTTGTCACATAAAGATAGCCACTGTTAATTAGTGAAAGTAGTTCTGGTATAATGCCTATGCATATTTTTATAAAAATATCATTTATCTCTATGTCTTTATCTCTGTATTTTATACAAATGCATCTTTGTATAAGGATATGAAAAAATGAGTGGTGGGTGGAATAATTAATTTCATTAATTATTATTCTACAGCTCCTGCTTAAAAGCTGGATCACATTCAATTATATAAAAGTACTTGATTTAATTCACCAGCCCACTCTCCATTGTTCTACGTTTTTACAACCCTTCCCTTGGTTTTGGGTCCCCTAAACTTCCCGTTTGAGCTGGATCTTCTGAAATTTAAAATAAATTGTCTTTTCCAAATGTGAATGTTTCTGCCAAATTGCTTAGCATATCTAAAGACTATAAATCTAAAGAACAAGAATATTAAGGACACTGAAAAATATGTCTGTTTCATCAAATTTTAATTTTTAAAATAATGCAACCTGAGTATTTGAATTTGAATTCTATTACAAGCAATGTTAGTAGAAGTAGATGAACACTTCAACTTGACTGTGTAATTTATTTTCATAGAAATCTCTTTAGAGATCCCTCTCTAGTCAGCAAATAATTGCTTTAACTTTGGATTTTAATATTAGCACTGAATGATTTATGTACATTAAATAATGTGGTTCTCGCTAACCATTTATGAGCTAAGAATGATTATCTCCATTCTGAGGATAATCACACTTCAGGGAAGAAAGGTTAAGTGGTTTGCCTAAGATCACTCAGCCAGTCAATGGATTATCTCAAAATATGATCCTCGAGTCTTTAAATCATTAGGCTCGGCTGGCCTCAGCAATACTTGAAAGATATAAGGGATGCACATTTAGATTTTTCCTCAAATTATTTATGTGATATAATGTCAAATTTGTTTATAGAGCTTTTTTTATTGATGTTTCTTAAGACATAATTTGGTCTATAAGCAAATGAGACATTGTAAAATGAACATGGTAAGAATCTACATGTGGAAAAATCTCTAGTGGAATTAGAGTATCAGCTTCTAAAATAGTACATAGACAAAGTAGACAACAGAAAAAAAAAACATTTGGTGGAAGAGTCAGGGGAATAAAGGCAAGAAGTAACAGAAAACAAATAGAGTGGCTTCTTTTTGTAAATTTGCATTTCAGGGTTAGATTTTAACAGGCTCTGAATGAAACAAACAAAAAGAGATATTTGTTGGGTTGTCGGAAAAGTCATGACGCATTTTTGCAACGAAAATACGTCATAGAAAAAAATACATCATGACTTTTCCAACAACCCAATATTAATGAGGACACATGCACTACCTGGGAGCTATTCCCTCCATCTCCAGAATAAAAGCATCATACAGGTTTACCCACCTCTATCAACAGGGATGACAAAAGTGCTTCATATAACCTTACCCTATGTTCACACAAATGAGACACTCTAGAAGTTATTCCTAGACTCTAAGAATTTTCAACATTGATTGATGTGAGCAGAATTAGAAGTGACCTTGGTAAACTAGAGTAGAGGCCAAAAAATAGTGGATTGATGTATTGCAAGGACCATATCAGATTTGTATTTCTGGGTAGGGGGGACAAGGGAACCAACAGGATGGTTGTCTCTTTTTCGAGGCGGGAGGGGAAGAAGGGCATTCGGTTTGTTTTTCCATCCAACTTAGTCTCTGAAGTTAATTTTAAGAAAAAGTATTGGTAAATGGTTTAACCAAGGATTGTTTAACAAAACTGATTTTTTACTTGAAAACTAGAATTTCCAACCGATTCTGTTTGCCTGGAACATCCCTGGTTTTAGTACAAAATTTCCATGTCCTGGGAAACCAGCAAATTAGGTCAGTTGGTTAAAATTAAAAATAAAAAGTGTGTTCATTGTCCAAACTTTAGAAAATACACATAAGCAAATGTGAGCATTAAAATCACTCACACTTTCAGTATACAGAGATAGCCACTGTTAGAAAATGTATTTCCTAAAATCTCTATGAAGTAGACTTTGTAACAGTGCAAGCTACTATTATTACATATGTCCAGTGACAGGGTAATATCATTTGAATTGTCTTTTAAAATTGTATTTAAAAGTCTATCAAGTACCTTAATAGGTGTACCTTTTCATCTGATTGCATCACTCTATAACTCTGATAAGTTTTCAGCCGTGTATTGACCATTTCTGATTCATTCTACAAATTCCCTTAACCTTACACGTCCCTTTATCTCTGAAACACAGAGCCTGTTAGTACACCAGCAGCACGCTTTCTGAGTGCAGATAACTGTATCACCGTGTAATCTCTCACTGCTCAGGGGTATGCAGCCTTTCCTTTCTTATTCCATTCCTGTGTCCCCTGTAGGCCACGGAGGGGAAACGTCTATCTAGGGAGTTTAGCATCATTTAACATCGATGTTTCTATTTGACAATCTCCTACATGAGTGAGACACTATGTCAACCACAGTGAGCACTTAAAAAGTATCAACACCTACTTAGACACATAAAGTTCTTTTTGTTGTGTGAAGGTTTAACTTTCTGAAAGCTTTTCAAGTCCTGATTTAAAGACAGGAGGAAAGAAGGGGAGTAAAATGCAGTGTTAGAAAGGAAATATATCTTTTATCTTTCCTAAACTGTTCACACTTGGTTGGGCCATATTTCAGGATTATTATGATCCAGAAAGTACCTCTCTCATGGAAGAAGTACTTACCATCAATGTGCGAAGTTACCCTGTTCTTGCCAATAACACACATATTAATGGCCTCTTCTTTTTTATTTCTAGCTATTTGATGCCGGTTGGCAGCCCTGGGGTCGCTTGTATGATTGAAATGACTGCAGATGGAAAACCTCCAATAAAGAAGAAAGACACAGAGATATCCCATGCCTCTCAGGTAGGTATGCATATATCCAGTTTCAAACATGACTAAATGTGCCCTCAATATTTCAAATACGTAGGTATTTTTTAGTCACTTAGCGTTAGTAATCTTCTGTATTGAACAAATTCCTTGTAAAAGCTCTCAACAAAACACCAGAATATTCATCTCTGATACTTTTAAGTATAATTAAAGATATTTAATGTTGCCTGTCACTATAAAAGTTTTATTAAATTTAGCATGAAATTGGTTTTCTTCTCAAACTTTACATATAGCATATTATGCTTGATTTAAAAAACAGCTCAGAAATGGGGAAAGATGAGCAAAATACAAAACAGTGCTGAAAACTTACATTTTTATAGACTATGGTAGTGCTTGTACTGTGCTGTTAAAAAGTCCATTCTCAGTTTTCCAGATTTATGTTGGCCAGAACATTTTTCTTAAAAACATTGCATGAAGCTAAATTGAAAGAGAGGATGTCTGTCCCTCTGGAGACCAGACAATTTGCTGAATTCTTTTAATTTTAATGAAGTGGTTGATTTACACGCTTCTTGGTATGACTTTATAGCAATACATGTAAGATAAAGAATTCCTGGTTCATTTGATCATCATGGAGAGTTAATCTGTATAATTAGAGCTCCAAAGTGCTAATTTTGGTACACATTAAAGCTTGAAGTGTGCAGTGCCCTAATGAATTGGAAATTTCATTTTATTTCCATTTCTTCTATGTTGTCTCTTATTGAGTATATGCAGGCATCTAAAAGAAGCACATAAGAACGTCTAACATTTGCTTAAGCACATTATGTTTTCCAAATTACGGCCATATATAGTATCTCATCTGATCCTCTCAAGAACCCTCCAAAGTAATAATGATTCCTTATTATACAAATTTGCCAGTGTCTTTCTTGGGGCAGTGCCTGTCATCTTTCACTCTGTTTTCCATCCTCAGTGCTGCAGGTTCTCTGGACCTGCTACAAGCTACCCAGGTTTCTTTTGTTCTCAGCAGCCCCCAAGTTTCTAGACTATTCTGGGTCGCATCAGAGCTGCAGGTCAGGCAAAACAGAAACCAGCCTCTCCGGAAGCCCCCTGAAAAGTCAGAATGTTAGAAGCAAGTTCCCCTCTTCCCTATCCACACCCACCCCCCAACCCAATCACCAGGAAGAGGCCACTGAGCTGAATGAGCCTCTGTCTGCTGCATCACAGGTCCCCTGAAGCAGCAGGATGCCATCTACTTTTCTTCTGTGTTCAGTGATACCCGGGCATCTAATTATGCCAGGTCTTGTCAGTGCCCCAAGACAGGAGAAACAGAAACCCACTCTTCAGGCAGTTCCCTGAAAATCCATAATTTTGCATGCACATTCCAACCCTTTCCATCCTCAGGGAGAAGTCAGGAGTTGGGGGCTTTCACCTACTCTTCCTCACTGAGCTTGGGGCCGGGGGACTATGCATGCTGGTCCAAACCCTCATCTTTGTTCCAAATGCCCCCCAAGTTGGTCCTCTTTTCTGTCAGGACTTAGGTTCAAACAAGACAGAAACTAGTCCCTTGAGCAGCACCCTGAAAAGTCTACACATAGGATATGTGTAGGATATGTGGGAAGCTTGCAAACTTAATTGTCTGATGGACCTCGTATGTTTGAGTCTTCCATTTCTCCCAAAGAAAAGGTGGGAACTAGAAATTTTCTCTCAATCATGCCTCGCTGAACCCAGAGAGTGGCGGGGGGCTATAGTGAGTAAGTGCCACGTATTTTCCTACTGGCCTCAATACAGTCGCCTAAGGTTCTCAACTGAATCCACGCATTTCTCACAAAGGGACTTGGTCTGTGTATTGTTGAATCAATCTCTCTCCATGAGGGAAGGAAGGAACGTCTGGAACTTCCTAGCCTGCCATCTTGCTGACAGAAAGCTGCTCTTTTCTAACTATTTAATTTATTTATTTCCCCACATTACATTTAATTTTCTTATAGACAAGAATAATCTCACATCCTTCTTTTGTATCTGCACATCCCTGTATCCATGTGCTCATAGGGTAGCAACTGGATTCGTTGATTACTTCACTAAAGTTCAGGTCTTTCTTTGACAAGCTGGGAAGATATTATTTTGAGAACATTTCCTAGCCTAGAAAGCTTTAAGAATCAAAGATTTTACTGTGAAGTGTGGGACCACTTAGGATTTCACTGATATTTATCAATTTACAAGAAAATTTTTAAAAAGCCTTTGTGTGAGCTGCTTGATATTAATCTCATAAGTAACTCAAGAACTTCCATATAAGCACTGCCCTTTATGCTGCATATATAATATAGGGATACATATTAGAATTAAAGCCACATTGATATTCCTTCTTTAATGATATCCAGCAAGGATCTGCCATATGCTGAATCTGGCAAACTAGCAAAGCTCTAAGGCAGCATGAAGTAGAAGAAGAAGACAAACAGGAGACCATGGAAAAGCAGGATTGAGCTTCATGAATTGAGTCATTTGTAACAAACTTATATCAAACCTCCTATTTACAAGGTGCTGCTAGAGACTGAGAGAATCCCAAAATGACCAGGGGTGGAGGTCCTACTTTAAAAGGGCGTATCAATTAATATAAAAGACACTGTATGCTCACAAATTATCATGTTATTGCAGGGAGGAGGTGGGGGAGAGGCAGGGGAGAAAGAGAGAGAGAGAGAGAGAGAGAGAGAGAGAGAGAGAGAGAGAGAGAGAGAGACTAACAGCAAAGGGATAGAGGGTTTAGATAATACTGCTTCTGCCTTTTGATTCCCTCCCATTTAATGTCTCTAAACAGTTTCAAAGAATTTAAGATTCAAATCACAGGTGAAAAGTTATTTAAATAAATCTTTCTTCCCAAACACTATACCCAACATCTCTTATCCATGTTTATTCCAAGACTCCATGTCTTTGGCTTTGAATGTCTCTGCATACAATTCAGATAATATTAAAAACAAAAAAAATGTGTAATAACAAAAGTCAAATCATTTCAATTTTAAGTCATTATATTCTTGGATAAAGACAAGTACACTCTGATAGTTAATCTTAACCAAAAATTGCATTTCTAGTTACCTTCCTATATTTCCTCAACACAAAAGTTATTGAAGTTCAGACAGACTTGAGGACGTAAAACAAAGGTAAACATTGAGTTGAGATATCATTACATGTGTGTAGTATTCCAACATCTAAATTTAAATTTAAAAAAAAAGAGGGGTAAAGCAGCATCTTATCCATCTTCCTCTCACTCCCCAGCTTTCAAAAGTTTATTCCCTGTTACCTATCTTCTTATTTTATTCCCACTTATTATAAAAGAGCACTGCATTCTTCCCTTAAAGGGAAGCTCTGAGAGGAAAGGAGATGTTCATTCATTCTTGTCAGATGTGGAGTACTTTTCCCTCAGTCACCATTCATATTTTTCATTATCTTGATGATTCCTCCTTGATGATTGCCCATGTCTGTTCTCTGTGGTTTTATCTTGTAAGATCATATCTTGATGTCAGACTCTATTCTCTATAGTCTGATTCACAAGAGGTTATTAGAAAAGACTTATTTTAAAGACCTGTCTTCTTAGGAATGATTATACACACACAAAAGGCAGCTCTTGGATAATTGAGAGTCTGGGGATATAGGAAGTCAACCAGTTTAATGGTTATCTATGTGCAGTCAACGACAGCAGCTTTTTTAGACATTTCAGGGCTCCAACTAAATGTGGGCCTCAGATCAGAAGAAATACAAGAGCCATTTATTTCCATTGTTTGGGTGTTTTTTAGTGGTCTAATAAATCATAGATAGCTCTATAGACTTTCCCTCAGATCTGCCTACTGCTGACAGAAGAGGAGGGTATTCTTCCATCCTCTATCAGTTTTGTGCTAAAACAGCACACTTGTCAAAGCAGTGAGAGGTTTGCTGTTCCAGGTGTGTGATCAATACACAAAGATGTCAGAGATCCTCAGTGAGAGGAAGGTCATAGCCTTGGATTTGCTGAGCCTGCAGGTTCATGATAGATCCCAGATTGCATTAGCAGTGAGTCACTTATCTCAGGCGATAAAAGAGCACTACTAATAGTTTGTTAGAGCAATTGACATAAATGGACTTAGCATATGGAGAAAAGGATATAAAACAAATAGACGTACTCCTACGCAGCATGAGGGTTCTATTAACACACCTTGAAAGTTCCACTCCACTATACCCAAAGGTAGTCATCCTCTGGGTGATTATATATTTGAATCCTATATGAAACACTCAGGAAAAAAAATTAAGGAGTACCCTTAGGAGCAGAGCCTGAATAACTAAAAAAAAAAAAAGAATAAGAGCTCCAATAATAGAATTAGTTTGATCTATTGTGGTTCATGAAGATGTTTTGATATTCCTAGAATTACACATTCTTCTGTTCTCTAAAAGCACATTTGCATTAAGCTGGAAAATATTGGTATAAGTATTAAGTGATATTACTAGGCATCTCTCATCCCTTCTTCCCCTCAGAGTCATAACTTAATTATTTGGCTCTAGTTTTTGAATTCTTGCAATGACAGTTTTCCATTTTAATGTATCTATAATACCAATTTAAATACTTTTCAACATCAGCTTGGACTGCATGAGTGTATTTTGGGGATAAGGACATTAGAGACATAAGCTGCACAAACACTGCTGCATCTACCTGTCATATGCCAAACGGCCCTGAAGGTCACGGTCTTATTACCAGTTCATCCAGACTTCAATTGTAACTCATAGATTCCTATTGAAGAGAGTTGCATTTTATGTACATCTAAATAATAAAAGTTCAATATATATATATATATATATATGTGTGTGTGTGTATAATATATATGCATATATATATATATATATATATATATATATATATACACATGTATTGCTGAGGGGTGGGAAAGGAAAGATTAGTAGCAATTTACATCATGTAAGTGATTTTTTTCACCATTGTGGTTAGTGAGTATAAGGTCTATTTCCAAATAAGATCACATTCTGGTATATACTGGAGGTTAGGACTTCAACATGTGAATTTGTTGGTGGAGCACAATTCAATCTCTAATAATAATTAACAAGACTTAATTTTCTTTATCAGTTATGATTTGCTAATGTTCACATTGAAATGCAAACACTTGAGTTCCAAATTACATTTCAAAGTAATCAATCAGCAAGTTTTGTTGAATGCCTATTTTTTATACTAAATTGTATTAGCTATTATGAGACATACCAAAGAAATATAAAATACAGGCCCTTTTCTAAAGTAACTTACCTTACAACCTCATGGAGTTGACAAAATCAGCCAGCATTTGCAACCTGTGTAACATAGGAGAACACATTAAAACATGCAATTATAGAAGAAAACATCCTAAGCCTTTCCTCTGTAATCTAACAACACCTTATAAGAAGATTTTTTTTTATTGTTATTTTTCCTACAGGTACATTTTGAATCAATGTTCCTCGGCTATATTCCAGAAAATGTTAAGATCCATAAGAATGCAGGCCACCTTTATGGGTTCAAGGGCTGTATTCAAGAGCTTCAAGTAAACAACAAAGAGTTCTTCATCATTGGTGAAGCACTACGTGGAAAGAACATTAAGAACTGCCCTGTCCCTGGGTGTGCTCAGCATCTATGCGGCAACAACGGCACCTGCATCAGGTAAGTGTGAGCCTCCTGATCTCCAGCCTGCTGTGCATGACTCCAAATCCTTAAAACAGTAAGACCAGCAGAATTGTCATCTGGGTGAGAGAGAGAAAGGCCTGGAACATACAAGTTTGTGTGTGAATCATTTAGGTGATGCACACATGTGGTGGATACTTGTTTGCTCAAAGAAATTTGTGTATTGTGGCTCTGGTGGCAAGAGATTCCTGACCTCTGAAAATAACTAGGTAGCTGGACCTTACTTGGGCAGTTTTATATGGATCCAAGTGTAAGTTTCTCAAGGTGTTCTGCTTTTTAGAAATATGAATGAGAGATTATTATTCATTGATAAGGGTTTTGATGTATTAATTTTTATTGTGTTTATTTTTGCTTCATCTTCAAAAATATCTACTTACATCTCTAAGATTAGAGATGGAGAAAAAGTACCTATACCTAGTTCTTCTTTTTATTTGCAATTCTATGTATGTTTTTCCTCCTTCAAGTAAAGATTCGTCATGCTTATAAGCTTAAGGTCTTAATTAAAATTACTTTCTGCTCCACTAAAGTGTCTTAAGTGACTTGAGCCTGAGGGAGTTTCATTTGGACAGTGTAGAGCATATTCTAAAATTTCTTCAGTCCTCTGAGAAATCCTTATTTCAGGGTTACAAATAATGACAGAGTGGAAGCTGAAACGTGTACAGATTATAATAATTCAAGTCAAGAAAAAAATTGACCAAATCTCATAGGAAATATCTTAATTAATTTACTTCAGTGACACTAAGGGAAAACTTATCAAATTGTCAATGACTCCATAAAAGTAAACACCTTATATACATCATATGGGAAAGAGAAAAATTCTGTCAAAAAGTAGGATGGGAAATGGTAGGCAGAGATGGTCTCTGAAAGAAATCACTGGAATGGAAAATAATAAATAGAGAGAGGAAGAGAGGGAGAGAGAGAAAACACCAAATGGCAAAGAAAAGCAATGGACTGGTATGATAAATTCAAGGTGATGTATTAATTAGACAATCACGAACTGACCGTAATAAATTTGAAGAAAAAGCATGGTTGGAAAAAGAGCTCAGCTCTTAGGGTATCTAAAACCTTTCTTCTCATTAACTATATCTGAGTGAGTGACTTGATTTACACATTTGTAAAAGAACAACAGCAATATAGACCTATTTCACATGGGGAAAGTATGACAGATAAAGTTTTAAAGGGGTTTGGGACCGGCCGAGTGGCGCAATGGTTAAGAACTGGCTTGGGATGCCAGAGGTCCCCGGTTCGGATCCCACATATGAGGGCCAGTGACACTGCCCTTCACAGCTAAGATGCTGAACAACAGCTCAACCTGGAGCTGGGCTGCCCTGAGTCGCCAGCGAAGGCATAGGCTGCAGCCCCTGCGGCAGTGGGTTGCCATGGGCTACCGTATGTAGCCAGCAGCCAATGTGAGCGGCCAGCAGCCAACGTGAGCGGCCAGCAGCCGCAGTGAGCGGCCGTCCAGAAGCCGGCGACTGATCTGCCTCACCTGGGAAGAGCGCAATGATGGTGCCAACTTGGGCCAGTGAAGCAACGTCCTCCACAACTAGACTGAAGAACAAAACGACAGCAACTTGTCTGTTCCCCTTCCCCCAATTCCCCAGCACTGTTCCCATCCCCCCAATTCCCCAATAAAAATCTTAAAAATATATATATAAAATAAAAAATGTTTTAAAGGGCTTTAAAAGAGAGTGCATTTGAGGCTAATGTGAAAATCACTTTGGCCATGGTCACTTTTCTGAAGGAAACCAAATCAAGGCTTTACTTATTAAGTATTCTGTTTTATAATGAACCCATTAATAACAATTATTTTTTTAAAAATAAATAACAATGCAGAAATGATCCAGCAGGGCAGTCTTCAGAACCCTGCAGAAAAACTTGCGTTTTTGCCTAATTTCAGTGAAATAGAAACAGGAAAAAAGTTTCTCCTACTGATTTTCTAGTGTCTGAAATATTTGTGTCATTTAACTTAAATAAATGTTGTGAGTGAGGCTTTACCATTGATGGAGATATAGAAGTGACAAGAATTGTGTTTTTTCCCTTCATATCTGTGGTCAACAGACTCTATCATAGCCCCCATCATCCCCTCTTCTGGTGTTCAAGCCTTTGCATGATCCCCTCTATCTTTAGTGTGGATGGGACTGGTGATTTACTTTTAGCCAACAGAATAACCAATAGAATAGGGTGATGAGATGTCACTAATTTCCATGATTAGGTTACATAGGATTGTGAGCTGCATCTTGGAAGGAGACTTGTGCTTGCTGACTTTGATAAACCATGTAGCAATTGTGGGAAGGTCCTTGTGACAAGCCACTGAGGGTGGCCTCCAGCCAACAAGCAGCAATGAGCTGAGAGTGGCCACTTGCCAGCTGTATACCCAACAAATAAAACACTTCTTCACATCCTATGAACACCATGATTTCTATCTTTATTGCCAGTTCTTAACTCCCATAAATGACCCTTGCGTTATTGCACCCAGGGCACACTTGTCCAGGGCAACTCTGATTTCCATTCCAACACATCCCCGCGCACGCCAAAACCAGAATACATTGGAGTGGTCCAGTACAACAACAATAAGAATGAATGTTCCAGAGGGATCATAATCACAGCCCTTAGGAGGTCAAAAGTTTAATGCAAGAGCACAGATATCTATAGGACCACAGGAAAGATCATCAGAATAAGAATGCTGCCTGTCACTTTGCTGTTCTGTGTGAAAAACCAATGCCGACCATACATAGAGTCTCCAGCAGTCTGTGCAAGTAACAAAAGGAGAAAGAGATACAGACTGAAGGAGAACTCCCAGTGAGGACATGAGTACCTTCAAACCAAAGAAGTTGTTCAAAAAGAACAAAAGCCAGAAAAATAGGTCACAAAAAACCACAACCATGACCATCACCCTATACCCAGCAGACATACCTACACTTGGACTACACTAATTGTGTAAATTTGCAACCAAGGAACCTTGGAAACTGTGCTGCTGAGCCTCATCCTGACTTTGACAGATGGATCAAACTGACTTAATGCATTTGGCAACTCACTTGCCATCTATATTGTTGACCAAAGCCTAAAGTTCCTTTCCTCTCTATGCTGCCACATCATAAAATAGATCTTTCCAAATCCTCCAAACTCTTCCAACCCTTCTCAACCTTTGGGTCTGTTTATGCCATCTGACTTGATCTCACTCCTGAGCCAAGCCAAGCAAACTTCTAAATTCCCCTCCTGTTTTCTCCTATTTTCCCCAAAGGGGAGATTGGAGGCAAGACAGCTTTCAAAATAGCAGAGCAATTCAAATAAGATATATTAATATCTTTCTGGATGCAAAGGATATGGACAAAGTGACCTGATGGAATTTTTTTTAGGTCCAAAAAGTAATAGGCGATCTGTGTTCAAAATAAAAGAGTCATTATTACAAAGACAAGAAGAAAGCTCTTTTACTTCTCTGATTTTCTGTCTCAAGGTATAGAGGCACTAATGTTTCAATACTATAGCATGTGTGCGATTTCTACGTGAAAATGCCAATAATAATTTCTTGTAACAGTTTTATTGTTCTAGTCCACAGACTCTCATCTAAAAGTTGAGGAATGCCTCCAAATGAGGAATACAACAACCTTAAGAGAGGCAGAAATTTTTCAGCCTACACACACACACACACACACACACACACACACTTGAGCATTCTAATCCATATCTCTGGGAAATGCATGCCACGCTCCCCCACATGTGAAGAATAATAGTGGTTTAAGAGATAACCCTTAGAGAAGCATGTCCTAAACAAGAGTAAGATGGTAAATGAACACAGGCTCAGTACCACAGAGCTACACTTTAGGGTTCACAAAATAAAATACAGTTACATAGCTATTTATAAACAAAATCATTACTAATTTTAGTAGCTCGGTTGCTATAACTCACTGTGCTGTCCCTACATTGTCTATGAAGGTAAGAAAGTAATCTGCTTACAAAAAGACAAATTTCATGTTGAAAAGTATTAAGGGGAAGTATTACTTCAGCGGTTTTGCTGAGCAAATGTCATTCTGCTTTGAGTGCCATCACATGTTTCTGGACAGCATCCAAGCTTTTTTCATTTCGTTATAAATCTGTGCTAGAATTTTCAAACCCCTGTGGTTGCTTATTTCAGAGAAATCCAAATTGCATGTAGTGAAATTCAGTTTAGAAAAGTGATACAGAAGGGTTATTCTGAGCATGCAAATCTCTGTGGACTTTGAACAAGCTGTTTCCAAAAGGGCATAGGAAGGTTAGCAAATTAAACAGATAATATTTAAATCACTTTCTCCTTTCCGTGCCAGATGTTTTAAAATAGGTTAAACAATAATTAAAAGGGGGCATCAGGTTTGGGAATATACCCTATACAACCATGGCTCTAAAAACTTATGCCACTGACATTATGGTAAATAATTATTGAGACATGAATTTTAGGCTTAGTCTTAATTTTATCAGGAGCTAAGTGTGTATGAATGTATTTTATCATGCATTGAAAGTCAGCAATCCCATACGTGAATGTGCTTCCTGTGCCTCTAATTGTCCTCAGAGCTTTTATCCATCACTAACCAGTGCTACCCTCCATGTGCTGGGGCAGGGGTCAGCCAACTGTTTTTTGTAAAGGACCAGATAGTGAATATTTTAGACTTTGTATCTCATCTAGTCAACTTTGCTATTGTTACGCCAAAGCAACCATTGAAGATACGTAAATGAATGGACATGGCTGTGTTCCAATAAAACTTTATTTACAAAAATAGGTGACTGGCAGGATTTGGCCCAAGGACCACAGTTTGTAGACTATTGCACTGAGGCAACAAGTGGATAAAATACTTTTATTTGATCAATTGACCAAGAAATTCCAACTCCATTTAATTTGTCCATATTAGGCAATGTAGCTAGCTAGCTAGCTAGATGGATATATTATAGAAATATATAAGTATAGTGATTATAAGGTATTGGCTCACACAGTTATGGAGAATAAG